TTACAGTAATAGTAATTATATTACTTTGTAAACTAAACAGATATGTATAATCTATGATGCTTCTCGATTATTAAACACCAATACTACGGTGCAAAATAAAACTAACGTTTGTACCGGCTACATTATCAATCTAGCAAACAGACCTGCAAGACTGGATTCAAGGAACAGATGCAGATGAACATCACTATCTCAAGCCATGGCTAAGGCTGGATAGCAGTGACTCTGAGGGAACAGCGCAGGTACCACTCGTCCAAGAGTAATGAGTTGGAAGATCGTGCTGAGCCTCTGGAAATCAGTGCAAGACAGGAAAATAGCAGGTGAGCAAATGTTCTGGTTTTTCATACTTGCAAATTTGGCACTGCTGGGTGGTCAACGAATGAAAAATAATGGTGCACAGGAGCACCAAAACTATGCAGCTGAATTCTGGAGAAAACATAACCTGCATTGTGTCCAGGTAGCTGGTGGTGGTGTAGCTGTGTGGGAGTGTTCTCCTGGCACACTCTGGGCCCCTGAATACCAATCAGTCATGGTTCGAATGCCACCGGCTATCTGAGTGTTGTTACTGACCATGTGCATCCCTTAATGGCCACAGTTTACCAACTTCTAATGGCTGCTTCCAGCACGATAAGGCACCATGACGATGCTTTTCCCTTTCGATTCTGCAGACAAATCTGCAGAAATAATGTGATGCAATCATGCCAACATGAAGCCGCATCTAAAAGGAAAAGACTCCAAGAAGTGAAGCTGTTTGAGGGCAAAGGGAGAACAGACCGAGAATTGTTCTGGTGTTTCCAGTAAAGTGTCCACAGAGTGTAAACTGGACATATACATTAATATAAATACGTTAGTATAAAAAGTCCCACCAGCAATTTTGTACCACACTTCCATCCGAGTAAGTGCATTAAAATATATTGAACGGTCAAAGTGAGTGCAGCAGAGTCCAATCATGCAACCTGATATCATCTCATTAGGCCCCTCTCTCCTTCAAATGATGTATTATTCAGTGAAGTGACCACTTACTGGTAATGAGGTAATGAGTTTTCACTGCCGGACTGACAACACCTGCAACACTCACCAAATGTCACAGCGTTGCCCTGCGAGAAGCACCTTGTCGCGGTGAACGGAGAGGGATGCTTAAATTAATCCCACTGGGATCCATCACTACCTGCAACCTCCATTCAACACCTGCCATTGGCCCGTCACCTCTGAAAGCACAGAGTTGTTGTAAATGGCTCCTCGTGTCCTTACTGCCATTACAACGCGCTTAAATTACCGGCCGTTCATATCAAATGTCTTTCCAACCAAAAAGTGCAAAAGACAAAAAAAAAAAGGGTTTAAAGGGATTTTGTTTTTTTTTCTAGTAGCAGCAAAAAAAAAAAAAAGCTTGTAAGAGGATTTCTGGAAAGGCGATTTGTTTGCTCACTAAGAGGTTAGATGTCATCCTTAAATCCTTCTGATGTAACACTCCTTTTCATTTTTCACCCAAACTACCTCATTTCATTTTGGAGTAACACCAAAACAAATCTGACCAATGACAGCAGGCGAACACACAGAAACGGGACACCAAAAAAAAAAAAGAAAAGAAAAGCAAATTAAACACTTTATTTCATACTGACACGTATCATCATCGCAGTCATGACAAAGTGCTACGTTCTCTGCTCTACTCTGTCTAATGAAACAGAAAAAGCTAATATTCAGACAGCGGTGGCATGGACATGCACAGCTGAGAAAACTTTAACAAGCCTCTTGGCACCTTGGAAACGATTGCACACACCTATAAAAATCAAACACAAAAGGAGGATGGAGGAATGTGGGTCAAAGTGGGCTCGGGGGCGAGCTGGCAAACATCTTCTGATTTCTGTGACACTGATCTGGGCTGACTTTGGGCTTCATTGCCGAACCCAAACTTCCCTCCTGTCTGAACCGATAAGGATCAATTCCTCAGTGAATCCGTAAACTTGTGGGTCGGTGTAACAAGGTGGAGGGCGAGCAGGGAAGTCCATTTTTAACAGGACCAACGGTGATCGAGTTGACGTGTCCAGCTGATGTGTTGAAGTGTCAGTTCAAACCAGCCCAGGGTTTGGATTTGAACTGTGATGCCCCTTTGGGGAAGTGCAGATTGAATTTCCTGCAGTGTTAACAAAAATACCACTGTTTTGATGCGGTGCTCAAACTACAGCAGTTACACAGTCCACAGCTGCTGCAGTTCTACAGTTTTCACAACGGTTGGTCCACACAAATCACAAAAACATAATTAAATGAATTCTCTCATACCTGTTTGGAAACCGGTTCATGCATGTAGTGTTTATTTGTCTCCACCACAATATGATGAAGATCAATGGAATATTTGTATGAGCTCTCGCAGCATTGAGAAGTGGCCCTCAAACCAGCACTCCAGCACTGCACTGTCATGCTCATGTTGGACTGGTTAACAATCCAAACTGATTGTCTTGCTTGCAGAATAGTCTGGCTGCACTTTATTATCACACTGCTAATGGGGGGAGGGATGTTTTTTCTTGTTCGTATTCCTGTAAACCAATCACAGTCATACTGGGCGGAGCAAAGCCAAGAAAGCAGCAAAGGCGTGGCCAATGGCAGGCTTATACCCACAATCTATGTCCGCTGAGTCAGAACACACATTTGTTCAACTCATTTCTTTCCATCATCTATACACCGCTTAATCCTCACTAGGGTCGTGGGGGGCTGGAGTCTATCCCAGCTGACTCAGGGCGAAGGCAGGTTCACCTGGACAGGTAACCAGTCTATCACAGGGCCACACTTAGAGACAGACAACCAAGCACACTCACATTCACACCTACAGACAATTTAGAATCACCAATTAACCTCAACATGTTTTTGAACTGTGGGAGGAAGCCGGAGAACCCGGAGAGAACATTCAAACTTCAGGCGAAGCAGCGACCTTCTTGCTGCGAGGCAACAGCTCCCATTCCAAGTCTCCAGATTTTATTCACTTTTTCAAACTAGTCATCTTTAAACTCAATGCTGACTCAACTTGCACCACTGAAGGCAGCTGATCAGACCTCCCACAGCTCCCTCTGGAGCCACAAAATGCCTTAACCTCTTTCACATATGCAGTGATTCTCCCTTGGGCCAGATTTAAGTGTGGAAAATTAGTGGATTTTTGTTGTAATAATCCCTCATCACACTGTTAAAAGGGTTTTTTTTTTGGACGATTTACATAAGCAGAAAGTCGTAAAAAGGGGTAAAAAAAACAACATACATCCATCCTCCTGCAGCTGTCCCCTCTCTCCTCTCTGTTCTAAGCCCCTCCCACCACACAAACATGCACTCTGAGCTTAAAATAAATATGCATTTGTGGTTTCAACCGGAGGGAGTGTTCGATGGGTTAGATAGAGTCTTCCATCTAACCCATCTAATCCATTACTCCACCATATCCTGCTCTTAATGAAGAATTTGTTGCTATTTATACTAGCTCATCTGAAAAGCCCTGTGATTGGCTGGCATCTCCTGTCATGGTGGATATTTTCTAATTTATGAAAACAGAGCCTGGAAAACGTGCATAAGTTTAATTTCTTTGAATCACAATGTGCTGAGAGGTTTGTATGAATTTTTTGCCCAATTAGGTCAACAACAAAAAAAACATGCTAACTAACCCAGATTTAAAGGTGCAGGTTGATCGACCAAAACAAATGTCCAAAAGACGGTAAAACGGAGCTGAGAGGGAGCGCAGAGCTGGCCGATAAATCTCGGTTTGATCTTCACTGACTGACTCATATCACAATACACATGGCACATTTGACTCAACACTGTTCAAAATATTGATTAGTGCAGCTTTAAATTTTTTTTCTTTACCTTTAATTTCTTTTCATTTCATTTCATTTCATTAAATGTAATTTTCATCCAAATTAAAGAGGAGACACAAATATAGACAAATAACAATTAGATTGTTATTTGCACTGCTGTTTTGCACAACTCTACATGTATTTTTTCTGCTCAGATGTGTAAATTATATATATATTTACTATCTTAGTTTATTTTTTCTTACTATTTATTTTTATCTTATCGTTATTTTTTTCTTTCTATTGTTATTTTACTTTATTTTTCCTATTTCTATTTTTCTCCTTGCTCATTCCCAGGGTGACACCAACAGCCAAAACAGAATTCCTTGCATGTTGTGTATGTACTTGGCCATTAAAGTTGATTCTAATTCTGATTTCTCACAGCCTAAAAAATGTTTGAATGAACGGAAACACAATAAGGCGGTAAGGGAATATGTTTTTGTAATCCGAGTGAACCACCCCTTTAAAAGTCTGTCAAACGCATTTGTCCGACTAAACTAAACACGTCTGTAGTTCTTGCTACACAGAGAAGGTTTAAATAGAAACACAGTGTTTGTTTTTCATGAAGGAACTTTCACAGGGTTATACAGAATTTCAAGAAGGTGTGCAGCAGACATGGTTTGATCTGCAAAACATCGAGTCAGGATACCTTCACACATATGACTGGCATGTTTCAAAAACAATACGCTGCACAGTACGAGACAGATGGTTAAAAATAACAAGGGTCACCATGATGGCATTATTCACAATACATGCTGTATACTGTATAATAACCACCAAAGCCTCTAACAGCTTATCAGGTGTGAATATTCCTCTCAGCCCAATTTTAAAAAAAGCCCACCCACGTTTTTGTGATCTTTGTGATCTCTGCAGTGACAATTTCCCGCGGTAACAGTGAAATTTCCATATGAACTCTTAATATAAAAAACAGACACCACTTAGAGTCGAGACATAATTGAAATTCTGCCCACAAAAGGACTGCATTTTCCGCTGTAGACCAAACAACCAAACCCCAGAGTGCATTACTACTTCACCAGAATCACAGTGCACTACTTCACATCAAATGGATTCTTTTTTTTTTGATTGTGTACTTAAACAAGACAGTGGAGGGAGGGAAGAACGAAACACTTGGGTTCAGACTGTAAGAATACAGGAATGTGCAAAAGGTACTTCTCCTTGCTACGCCATGTGAGCAACGTCTGTGAGGGTCTGTTCCACTGTCCTACTTCCATTCTTAAGAATTCCCTCAGGGTTAACATGATCCAAGTTCACTGCTGGTGTTTTTGGGCCATCAATACTGGAGTCCTCGGCCTGAGGCTCTAAGAAAGCCACCCTCTTTCCATTTGACCGCCGCTGTCCTGATTCCACGTCCCTGGGGTCCGAGCAGAGGGTCATGGCTCTTCCGCCGCATCCTCTTGAGCCACCCCTGCTGTCCCGACAGCGACAGGGGGTGAGGTAGAGGTAAAGCATCACCAGTATGATGCTCACGACACAGGAAGCAAGCGTGGTGAACGCAGTGTTGAAATGTTCCCCGCCGCTGCTATGTGCCAATTCACTGGAGGAGGTTGTGCTTTGGTTTCCAACCACCACACTGACCTCCAGAGGTTCACTGGGGTTAAAGTGGTGCCCACGGGCTACCACACACCCGTATGTACCAGAATCTTCTAGCAGTGCTCCTTGGATTTCAAGAGTGCCATTGGGAAGAACTGTTAAGTGGCCACTCAGATCACTGGCTGATGAATTCAGTGCGATCTGAGGAGTGACCCAGAACACCACCAGCCCCTCCTGAATAGGCAGATTTAACCCTGGGCATGGCACTCTCAGCCATTTTCCAGGCTCTACTTGGTATTTCTGTACCTCCAGGGGCATGTCCGCCACCCCTTGCTGCTTACAATTCAGTTCTGGTCGTGCACCTTCTCTGCATGCGTATTCAGTTCTGAAATCCACCAGAGGACGATACTGCTTCCACAGCCAGTACTCCAGCAGGGCGAGCAGTGCACAGTCGCAGACCAGTGGGTTTCCCTGCAGATAAATCCCTCCGTGGCGAGTGAGAAGCAGCAGGCTCTGGATGGGCACCTCGGAGAGCCTGTTGTTTGACAGGTCGAGAAACGTCAGGTTACGAGGCCCTCCGGGTTCCTCGTAAAGTCCCAGGGGGAAGGCAGTCAGTCTGTTCGTGGAGAGATAGAGCTTCTGCAAGCTGTGAAGGTCGCTGAAGGTCCCCGGGTTGATCTGGACGATCTGGTTGTCAAACAGCAGCAGCTCTTTCAGCTCCCTTAACCCAGCGAAGACGGACGAGTTCAGCACTGTCAGCTGGTTGGATGAAAGGTCCAGGTGGAGGAGATGTGGCGTCACGTTGAAGGCATTCACATCGATTCGGCTGATGGAGTTCTTGCTGAGGACCAGAGTAGCGAGTCGGTCAAACGGTTGGGAAATCCAGTCTACATGCAGGGCGGTGAGGGCGTTGTGGCTCAGGTCCAGCCGTGTGGCATAGCTCGGTAGATCAAAGGGCAGCGTGGACAGATTGCTGCCACAGCAGGAAATGATATCACTGGCACAAAGGCAGTGGGATGGGCAAGTGGCCACGGAGGGAAGGAAGCCAAAACACAGGAGGAAGAGCACAGCAGGGTTCCACCGGCTTCCTCCATCATTGGTCTTGCCTAAAAGCTCTGACGCAATGGGATGCATCCTGGTTCTCCCTCTGGACGAGATCTCAGGTTACCGTCTCACTGGGTGTGCACATTTCAGGCTTCCTCGCCTCTGATAATGCATGGCTTTTATGTACTGAAGAGAGGAGACAAGGAAGACAAGAGAAGACAATAGAAATGAATCTCTTCTGTTTTAATGCAAAAAAAAAAAAAATTGCAGGCGCCGTTTATATTGTGCTTCATCATCTGAGAAGCAGAGCATGATGTTATAAAGGAAGCAGGCATTAGGTTGATTTGGTTCAACACACAGGAAGACTGTATTGGAAAAGCCATAAAACTGGTCCAGGCATTACATGTAACTAAAAATAAATTGTAATCCACATTTAAACACAACATTGATGGCATCACCTGCACATGACAACTGTTAGAAACTGCTGGAACAAGTGTAACTTAATCCAGGCACGTTGGTAATACTCCTCCCTGTTTTCCACTGATACAAATACAGTCTGCTACCTTCCTCACTGCTGTTCACACTCAGTTTGAAGCCTTTACTTTGTATTTTTCTGACGTTTATTTTGTATTTGACTCCCCCTCTGCGCAATCTCAACATCTGGATTAATCCATCCATCATAATCATTTAACTATTTGATGAAAAAAAAAATGCTTTGCAGCATCCAGGGCACTAAACACTAAGAATATGCAAAAATCAAACCATTCTGCAACATTTATTGTATGATTAAGTTACATAACTCTGCTTTTCTATTTCATCTCTAAACCTAATCATTTTAAAACAGCTGCAAAAGCCAAACAGATTAGAAGTAGAGAAGCAGGGAGAAGGGAAAGGAGAGATAGGTGACGTTTAGAGATGCCACGATTCGCCTGAAAAATTACAGAAAATTGATGTGATAATCAACAAATATTTAAGTAATTTTGAAAGCAAAAATGCCAATCACTCTGCGACTGCAGCCTCTTTAATGTGAGGATCGGCTCATTTTCTCACTTTGCTATCACTGTAAACTGAATATCTGGCTTCTTAAGGCATCGCGTTGGACTCCGAAAAATTTCAATGGGCATCCATCCATCCATTCATTCATCCACCTGTTATCATTTAACTATTTCATGAGACCCACATCACAGCAGTATAATGTAACATCCAGTAAATCGATACAGTAAGCATATGCAAAAATGAAACCATGCTGCAGCTTTGTATGATTGAAGTTACACAACTCTAGAGCCGCGAAAGCTAAACAGATTAATAGAGAGGCATGGGGACGGGAAAAGAGAGAGGTGATGGTTATAGATGTACTGCTTCAATTCAAATGAATAGAATATGAATGTGACAATCAGCAAACATAAAAGTAATCTATGAAGCAAACATGCCGATCACTCTGCTGCAGCCTCTTTAATGTTTTCTCACTTTCCTCTCATTGTGAATGAAATACCTGACTTCTGAAGAAATCACGTAGGACTGTGGGATATTTGAATGAGCTTTTTTTTAAAAAAATAAAATTGTGAATGAAATACCTGACTTCTGAAGAAATCACGTAGGACTGTGGGATATTTGAATGAGCTTTTTTTTAAAAAAATAAATAAATGTTTCTAGCTTTCTAGCTCCAAGGATTAATTGACAATAAAAGAAAATGATGCTTTTTGCCATATTAAGTTGTTTTTTATGCAGTTTATATTTATCTGCTTTCTCCCACATTTAGTGGTATGTCCACTTCATCCCTTGTTTATTGGAACATGCGGTGTCTTCCTTTTCCTCTATTTCTCAGCTTTTTCCCTTATTTAGTAACACATGCATATTTCTCTGACACTGACCTCATCCACACACCCGAGCCAAAAACACTTAGTCCCAGTTTGCTGCACCCAAACATGATTTACTGCTCTCACTTTCTACAGAAAAAAAAAAATCTCAAGAACCGTTTGAGAAGTTTAGAGAAGTGAGAGCATTGAATAAGAGTTCAAATAATGCATCACAAGTCAAAGACACTGTGATTTCCCATCAGATTGCTTTGTTCTACATTCATTTTGTCAAAGATTAACTATAATATTCGTATTAATCTGTCTGTATTAGTCTGTCCTGAAGACCCAACTCTCTGTCCCTTCCTGGTTTTTAGAGAGACACCAAGCAGGATTTTATGGAATTAAAAAAACCAATCAGACAAACTCACCTTGACGCCCACACTGCTGTCTGTTCAAACCTCCTTCTGTTCTGCTCTCACATCCACACGCGCGCTTCGGACGCGACGCAGGATCGCGTCCCGTTTGTGAATCCGTAAAAAAAAAATTCCTCAGAGCAACTTGGCTCTTTTTGGAGTGAAGCGCATCGTTTCTATCCTCGCAAAAAAAAGAAAAGAAAAAAAGATCCACAGAGAGTGTGAGGAGGAGACACGGAAGCCGGACTGCTCACCTGCAGGTCGGGTTGCATGTCGCGGTGGGAGGGGTCGTCCTGAGAGTAAATACGGAACAACAAGAGCAGCAGCCTGATCACCAATCACACGAGAGTGAGTGATGCCTAAAGGAGGAGAAGCCTGGGAGGGGAGGAGAGAGAGAGAGAGAGGGAGAGGAGGCAGCATCAGCACCACACTCACACCGTCAATCCAGTTTTATTTTGAAAAAAAAAAAAAGTCAAGTGAGTGATGTAAGTAATGTAAAGAAAGTACATCAGACAAAGTCATCTTGTTGTTTCAGTGTGTAAAGTGATTTATGAAGCCACAGCTGTCTGGTAGAGTCATATGAAGGTGTTCCCAGCACTTTTATTAAAGCTGTTCAGTGAATCTGCTGTTTGCCGGCAGGTTAAAGCTACACAACGTAATATTTTAAACACTCTGTATTCACAGACGGTCACTGTGAGGTCACCCACTGGTTTGGTATGCTGCATCACCATCTTGGTCTTTTCAAACCAGACGTGATGCATGAGAACACATTCACAAGCCGTAAAACATACCCTCCTCTATCGTCTGTTTTACTCTAAATAGACTTGAAACTAACAGTTTAGACCATAAACTCAGGACGAAAATGTTTACTGAGTTAGTACATCAAGTGAAAAGTGGTGTCATTTTCTTCTATGCAATTGGCCTTCCCTTTGCAACCAGAAGAGCCGCCCCCTGCTGGTTGTTGGAAAGAATACAGGTTTAGGGCATTTCTGCATTGGCTTTATTTTTAGGATCCGGAGGCTACTTTTATATACAGTCTATGTTTTGAACAAAAGATCAAATGACCATGTGCAATGTAAACAGGTCACTCATCATGAGAAACAATCACCAAGCTCTGCTGACCCACCACCTCCATCGAGCCTTTTGGCCTCTTTAGCTCATTGCTTTAGTTTTACCAGCAGGAGCGTTTCTGTTTCATTTTCCTCTCACTGCTGTCATCAGGGCTGTTTCCAGCAACAGCAACCTGCAATTGTCAGTGAACAAAATGTTTTTAATCCCATTTGGGATATCCAGTAGCCTAATGGTTAAGGTGCACACCACAGAACCTTAATGGGATTTTTTTTTCCAGTTGGGTGATTTCATGCCTGTCTTTCCCTGCCCTCATTGCACACTGTCTAATAAAAACAAATGGCAAAATATGTTACCCCACCTCACCTTGTGAGTAAAACCCAAAGGAATATTTCCTGTAAAGCACGCCCTGCCAACCACAGGACAAATAGCAAAAATATTTTTCACTTCTGTTTTAAGGAAAGATCAAGGTATGGGTTAAAACAGAGAACCTTTGTCGTCATGGTAAAGAAACAATAAATATTTAATTTGCAACCTGAACAATGAAGAACAATGAACAGCAATCCTCTGTTGTGATGCCTGTAACAGATCATGGTTAAATGCAATCCTGATGATTGGTTTGGAAGGAGATAAAAAGCCTGCTCCTCTGTTGAAGTCTAATGTTTTGTTGGCCCATTCATCCACCTCCACCTCCTATGGTGACTTTGTGGATCTACAACCACCACCTCCTTTGCTACCAGAATCACCACAGTCACTAGAGGGCACTGTAACAGTGGTTTGCCCATAGACTGTATAAAAGATGGACGTAGCTACCGTGACGTCACCTGTTGGTTTCTGCACTGAGAAAATGAAGCCAAGGTTTTGCTACTTCCTGGTTGACATCTTGGATTTTTGGAGCCAGTGACGCAAAAATCGTCGGAGGGGGGCGGAGCCATAGGAGCAGCGATTGGTCAGATGGATTGAGAGGCGGGCCCTCTCTGCCCGCCCACATTTACCGCCTTCTGCTCGCTTCATCTGTATGGTCGCTGCCGACTGTCAATCAAGCCAGCCACGCCCCTTGCCCCGCAAAATGTTGACGATTTTTTAAAAATTCAGTATTGATGTATTTTCAGATTGACCACCTGATCTCTGGATTTGATTATGAAAACTAATAAGAAAATAATCCTGAGCTGTAGGAATGCAGTATTTGGTGATCTGTGATCACTTCTTTTCCAGTTCCAGTCTATGGGAGCCAGGGCTTTTTGGAGCCAGGACTAGCGGACGTAGTGATATTGCAGGTTTTTGACACTTCTGGGTTGGCTTCATTTTTCAGGGCCGGTTGCTACGTCCATCTTTTATACAGTCTATGGGTTTGCCACACAAACCAACTATGGTGGCATGTTTTAATGTATTTATTTGTTATTTAATTTTAAAAGTGAAGACAGTATAGATAATGCTTTCATGTAGTGTTGACTGCTCTTCCTGCTGGACCTAACACTGATTGAAGCCTGGTCATGCGAAAGCCTGAACATTTGTCTAAATAGCCTGTGTGACCAGCTGTATGCCAACAAATAAAGCTGTAGCAATTACATTATTGAGGAAGCTGATTTCCAGGAATAGCAAATTACACTGAATAGCTGTAGTACTTCTTTCTTCCTTTTATAAAAAGCAAATTATGTCTAAATGTGGTATTGCTTTTTTTCAGTTTCATGTCAGTCATTTCACTCAAAAGGGAACATGCTATGCTTAAGTCACGTATTAAATTCATTTCTCTACTGCATTGTTACAAATTGCTTTCCATCAATCCACCCGACGTGCACAGAAATGAAAGCCT